TCGTTAGTTATTCCGTTTTACTTTATGTTTTGTTGTTATGTGTATATATATATATATATATATATATGTATATATGTGTATGTATATATATATATATATCCAGACTTACTTTCATGTTATGTGCCCGTAGCTTGCATAATGTGTCTGTCTATGTGCCTGTTCCTATTTATGATGTATATATATGTATATATTTATATATATGTGTTTAAATCTATACATATATCTATATATATTTGTACATATACACATATATATATGTACATACATGCATATATACGTATGCACGTATATCCAAATATATACAAATGAATACGTATATATACATATATTTATATATAAGTATACACACACATATATATATATATATATATATGTATCTATTTATATATTGTGCTGAATTTCGGATTTACGGTCACACACGCCTGTCAGCAAGTGAATATGCAGGTGATTTTCTACACCCATACACCACTGAAGCTTCTTCACACAGTACATATCCACACCTAACACGTGTTCGTTTGCCTGTATCTATTTCAAATACAATCCCTAATCCCTAATCCCTAATCCGTAAACACCTGACGCGTCAGGCACGCTGGACATATCCCAGAACTTCCTTTGCTTCAGCACCAGAGCCTCTCAGTCGTCTGATCTCGTGTCGGTGGTCATTCCTTGCCTGGATGTGGTACGCGCCACTCCTGTAGGTAAGTCAGGCATATGCACTTGTTGTGTGTAGGTATATAGTGTGCACTAGTTGTATGATTGTACACACCGCACAAGTATGCATATGGCCTATATATATATATATATATATATACATGACTTTTCTCACTAGTTACCTTTCATTTCTACATTTCTCATTGGCCCATACACCCATACCATCCCAGAGTACACGGATGTTACCAACGCCGTCCACGTGCACGCCCATGGGGGCAATGACTTTATCTTTGGCAATTTAACGGACAAGATCCGTCAGGTCATGGTCAATGCCATACTACGCACCACAGTCAACAAGAAGGACACCGGCCCCAGCGGCGGAGTACCCGGAGGTGCATTTGGGTCCACTTCTGTGTTCAGGTGCAGTGTACGGGGTTGTATCGGTGGGTTGGGTTGTGAGTGATTTACCACTGGACTGTCCCTATGGCTATCACTGTGTTGGGTTGTGAGTGATTTATCACTGGACTATCCCTATGGCCATCACTGTGTATGTGTTTGTACGTGTTGGGTTGTGAGTGATTTATCACTGGACTATCCCTATGGCTATCATTGTGTACGTGTTTGTACGTGTTGGGTTGTGAGTGATATATCACTGGACTTTCCCTATAACTATCACTGTGTATGTGTTTGTACGTGTTGGGTTATGACCTATATATCACTGGACTATCCCTATGGCTATCACTGTGTACGCATTTGTACGTGTTAGGTTGTGAGTGATTTATCACTGGACTATCCCTATGGCTATCACTGTGTATGTGTTTGTACGTGTTGGGTTGCGACCTATATATCACTGGACTATCCCTATGGCCTATGCCTATGTATGCGTTTGTACTAATGCTTTGCAAGTATCTCAACTACACATGCCGTGTGTATGCGTGTGCCTGTGGTATAACTACTCTTCCCAGTGTGTATGTACATTGACCAGTCTCGTGGGTGACTCATTACAGACTGAACAGCGAAGGGAGCCGATCTATTAATAGCACAAACGACTCCTCAGAACAATTAGCCAATGAGAACTCTTCCCAAAATAGCACGGATGACGATCTACAACTTCAGCCCGCGCTCATGTCCATATTTGGTCTGGCGCTCATACCTACCAACGGCAGTCTGTCTGAGGGACAAATCATCACCAAATCACCTGCAAGTATGTGACGCGTCTAGCTAAAACCCTAAACCCTAAAACACTAAAATCGGACGGAAACTGTGGCACGAACATGACATTCAGGGGAGATTATGCCAGTGTATTGTCGTATTTTCTTATGTCGTATTCTGCAATGTCGTATTTTCTTATGTCGTATTCTGCAATGTCGTATTTCCAACTATTCGGATAACTCCACGCCTGAGTGAACGGCTAACGATGTACTAATACCCAAACACACATCACCTGACATTACTGTGCAATGTCTTGACTCACTATATGACAAGTCCGCTCATTCGTATCGGTTTAACGTTTTCCCCACAGCAACGCTTAAATCCAGGACAGACACTGACACCACCTTCAGAAAAGCCTCCAGCGTACTCAGCACCAACTCACTGACCGTCTCACGGTAGTACCAGGCAATCGTTACATGCATACATATGTGTGTGACTAAGAGAGGGACATGGCACACACATGAAGCTTTGCCGTGGGATATATGAGTGTGTGTGCTTACTTGCTTCAATAGTGGGATCTTAAGGTACCGCTGGTGACTCAGGGTTACTGTCCATTGTCAAAAGTGGTTTATATGGTTGATATGGTTGGTATATATATATATTTACATATATATATATATATATATATATTTACATATATATATATATATATATATATATGTGTGTGTGTGTGTGTGTGTGTGTATATATGTATATACGTATATACGTATATACGTATTGTATACTCGTAACAAATAT